CCCCCAACTTTTTTCGATTTGATGTTCCCCTCCCTCTGTGAAGCCTGAAGTCAACTAAAGGGCTAATGATAACCATCATAAACCCTGACATTTGATATAAATAAATATTTACAATGTTTTGCTAAATATTTAATAAGCTGTGCGGCTTAAGATCGTAACGTACATGGTCGTATAATTTTCGTGTTATTAGCGTTTTTTAAAAGTTAAAGCAATTAATAACAGATCAAGCAAGTTAATTTAGACTCTTCAATTAATTTACTGTTATATATATGTATATATGACCTAAATAAATCTATCTAAGATAGGTAAATTCGAGAATGGTATGGTAAGTTACTATGACAACTAAAGAAAAAGGATTGATTACACAGTTTTTGAATGAGGATAACATTGCTTGTATAAACCCGCGGAGCCAAATTGTTGACTGAAATTCTGATTACGTTAAATGTATGCAAGCACTAATACATGTATGGTGCGTATAAATATTATAACCGACCAGAACATTTCAAATTTACTAGCCTGGTGTATTACCTCATTCAAGCCTGGAAACATGATAATCGCAAAGTGCTATATTGCACATTTAGAGCATACAACAATAAGCTCGCAATATAAACAATTAACCGGGACGAGGTGACAACGCCAAATCAATAAAAGCTCTCTCTATTCATTCTGCACAGACTCGGATTCTTTTCAATTGTCATCCGTTGCAGAAAAAACATGTTTGACATTTAAGGTCATTGTCAGAAATCGAAATGACCCCATTTCCAGTTGAAAATTTTGATGATTGTCAACAAATTGTTTCAGATCGAATCACCGAATTCATTTTTTAATATAAACGTGAAGCATAACTGCTTTTAAAAGTTAATTAACCCTCAGAGTACAGAGTCCAGTGGTTTGTAGAAAGATAGTCTTAAGAAATTCAAAGGTAGCTATGCCTCAGACCACATTTTGTACATAGCGAGGGGTCAGCAATTCCTTTGGAAGATTTAGCACTTTGTCTCGATTGTTAGCTCATAGCAAATCAGGACTTAATACTAAAGCAAAAATATGAAATATTTAATAGTAATTCTCACTTAAATCAAACGATCATGTCGGCAACTAAAGTGAGCCAAATAGCATTAACTTCACATAATCTTATCTCAACTTTTAGTTTTCATCTATCATGAAGAACAAAGATTTTCCATGTTCAGTGAATGTTAAGCGTAATGTGTGAAGATAGCTATGTAAAAAAATCATGTTAAAACTCCATCTAGGTAATTTGAAGAGAGTTGCTATAATAATAAACCCATGACTGACCCAAAAAATCTCTGTTGCAGTTTCTCCTACAACTAGCTAGACTCCCAGAATTAGATAAGCTACAGCCCACCTATAGAAGAAACAGACTTATGGGAAGGAACACGTTTATTCAGGAAGTATACTGTTTATAAAGTGTTCACTCCGCTAGGTTAGTCATAATCAAAATGGTGGATTTGCTTAAACAAAAGAAGGCTTCTGATTGGTCACTGGTTGGGAGCATTCGATCTCAAGTCACACGATGACGTGTCCCTAAAAGTAACAATCATTTGTTTAAAAATTAAAACAATCTTAACGAATCAAGTTAGAGGTAGATAACGCTCATTAAAATACATTAAAAAATTGTTACCCATTGTAGGTTGAAATCATTAAAGCTTATTAAAATATGATGAAAATATCAATCCCTAAACTGGCTAGAAAATTTTCAAAGATTTATGAGCATTAATATTAGAACAATTTAGCTTCATCAAACTATAAAAATAACGTTGATTGAATCTATTTATGGAGAATAATTTTGATCACAAGTTTGTTTGCTTTAATCAAAAAAGCGAATGCAAGTTTTAGGCGTTTATCTCGAAAACATTTTCATAATTGCTATGCAGGAAATCAAGTCTCTAAGCGCTATTGATTTAAGAGGATCTGTAGAAATTATAGCAGATTATTTTAGTTAGATCAATTTTTTTAAACGCTTTTAGATGTGGCAATTAATAACATTCTGTATAACCGTGCGATTTACCCCGAGTCTTCATTTAAGCGTGTGAAGAAATTCGGACGCTCAGTCTTAATTACCACTGACGAAGAATTGATAAAATATTTGGACAAATTAATAGATCAACTGAAAGGTATAATTATTTTTTTGTTTTCAAACATTTTAGTGTGGTTAATGGCTGATTCGTTGAAGAGGCTTGTAATTGTTATAAAGTCGGTCAAAAGTGGGGCGATTTTGGAGCGTTGGCAATTTAATATAAAAAGAGAAGAGGAGGAAGTTGCTGTGTAAGCTTCATTTTTTCAACGTTAGTTATTTTTTAGGGAAGATGTTGATGAAGGGCTTGGTGCTATTGTACGTCAAATTGTGGCATCCACATCATTTTTACCCAATATCAAAGAAACCTGTAAGCACCTGAAAGAAACTTTTTAGAATTCAATTATCTTTATTATAAATTCCTATAATTGGCGGTCTGTGTGTTTTATGTAGGCACATTTGATCTTTTGGTATACACTAACAGAAATTGTGAGATTCCTGAAGGATGGGATGAATCCGGACCCTGCTTTGTGCCAAATTCTGCTCAAGTTCAACTACGATCGTTTTCTACTAAGATTCACCAAGTTGAATCTATTGTGTCTTATAGACAAAAATGAACACACTATTTTTGACTGGATTTTATAATCAATATATTATGTTTATGTGCTCAATGACTGCATCGTATTACTGTCGTCGGAAACTTTAGCATTTAGTCTTGAAAGTGAGCCGTTAAAAATTTTCTTTTGAGTTGCTAATTGATTGTTTGAACCGTATAATCTGAATCAATTTGGTATCATTCAAAGACGTTGATTTACCGATCACAGAGGTGAGAGAAAAAACCTTCTTAGCCAGGCTCGAATAGTACTATTTCTGCCTGATCTTCAAGAAGAGAGTTACGGTTGCGATTTTTCATAAACGGCTTCTTGATAATTAAAATTAGCTTTAATGTCTTGTATAATTTTAGTGGGCTTGAAAATTTATGTCAATGCTATTTCAAGCCATTCGTACTCTTCTCCCTCTAAGTGTAAAGAAAATGGAGGTTTTGGTAGAATATTTGATTTTGGGGTCGAAGTCATTTTGTTGTAATTATAACTAGATAGGAGCTAAGGAGGTGGACGGCGTGGGGGGGGGGGAGTTGACAAGCGAACGGCCGAGGTCCAAACATTGGTTTAAAAGGCGAGTTTCTCGAGTTAGGCTGGCTAACGTGAGTATTAATCGAAGATGTTTATTGAAACCATTTTTTTCTCCAGAACATGTCTTGAATGATGTTAGGATTGGAAGTAATATGTTGTCACTGTTCGTACGTCGCTCATCATATTTGCGGTATCATCTCGAATTTTTTATCTTTCCCTCTACTTAGTCTACGAAATAAATCAGAGCAACTCTTGTCTATTTGTTTGTCGAAACATTGTAAGTCGGAAACCATATTCAGGCACTCAATCTCCTGATTCAGAAATACTCCAAAGTTAGCAGCTGAATGTGGTAAAATTAGAATCTGAAATGTTATCTAGGATTAAAAGTATTGGAATCAAAATTTGGTTGCTTATGTTAAAGTAGGTCAAAATAGATGAATCGATCGATCACAGAAAATCAGGACGACAGCTCAAATTTAGTGACGATTTTCTACATTTTTTTAAATATAAAGTAAAACAGATAAGAATAGGTATGTTTCTTTCGGCATAAAAGCTTATGATATTCCGAAATTTTTTAGGATTTATTCAAGGCTAAACCCTCATACAGGCGTTTGCTCTCATAATTATGCTTAGAAGTAACATTAGTTTCGTATTCTGTCTTCCCCGTTTTAAGTCATCTGTCGTCGACTAATTTAGCGAATACCGAAATCATGGCAATTGAACTAATCAAAACACTCTGTGATCGCCTAAACAACTTCAAGTTACGGAATAGATCTATCGTTGCAAAAGCTTGCTCTTATTTGTGCCGTTATCCACTTTTGATGATTAAATAACAAAATTATAGATATTTCTTCGCTTTTCTGTAAGATTAGATATATAACAAAACTAATTTGTATTTAAAATAACAGTATATAAATCTACAAATATGGAAGTATTTATTCGGCATTTGAATTTATTTCATAACTTCTGTTCTCAGGTATCATTTAATTTTACTTAAATACTTTAATAATATAATCCAATACACAAATTGCGAATAAACTATGAAATATTTAATATGTAAATCACAAAAAATGATATATAAATGTGCATTAGGATAAAAAACATTTTAATAGTAAGTAATTTTAATAAATGAGCGGTTAAAATCCTGTTATTAATATACACAGTTTATCATCCATAGGTCAAGGTAGTCATAGGACAAGGTAATATTAGAGTTGGAGCATAATTTAAAGATCTGAAATGAGTCAAAATATTTCCATCTCAATTTCAAAGAAAGAAACCAAACAAGTTCACAAACCAAGGGATAGGTAGGGAAAACGACAAAGATAAATGCACATACTTGTGTAGATTTAATGGTGTATATATGTCCTTCTATTTTATTGGCGTTGCAAATTTAATCCCATGGATGTTTTTTGCCACTGCTAAAAGAGTAAATTTTGTAATAGGGTGTATATTTTTAGTATTTTTTATACCAGCTAAGAAATAAATCACTTCCAAATGGGACAGACATCTTCGATTCCTCTTTTATGACCCGTGATCAGGTGTTCTTCCTTAACTACGTAGCAATTTGTTCAATGTTCCCAATGGCCATAACAAACTTTCTCAACCTTCCTTTACAAAAATGGTAAGAAAATGTTTTATGAAATCTACTTTTAGTATTTCTGCATTTCGGCGGTTTTACATCGGAGCAGGTCTTATGATTATTGGTCTCATTTTGACAATTTTATTCACCCAAATCGAAATTGGTAAAACCTAATTCAGTAATTAATTCTTTAGATACGAAACCATTTCTTGCGATTACTCTTTCTGTCGATATTATGTTAAATAGTAGGATTCGATATTTTGATAATTGTCAATTTAGTCGGTGGTGCACTTGCACAAGGTAGTATGCTGGGTGTTGTCGCTGCCTTGCCACCTCGAAATATTAAAGCACTGATGGAGGGACAGGTTTATTTTTAGAGATTTTTAAATACATTTGAAAAATATATAGGCATCAACAGGCGTTATTGCAGCGGTTGCCAGCATTATTGTTCTGAGTACAACTCCTGACATGTTGTTGTTCGGTTTTTGCTTCTTTTCAGTTGCACTACTCTTCGTTATTATAGCTGCGATACTTTGGACGTGTTTGTGGAAAAATGTAGTCACTCTTTTTACACTTACCTAAATACTTTCTTAATAATTTTTAAGTCCATTTTTGTAATATTTCAGGCATACTTTTCACATTATTGGAAAAACAATAGTAAGTCATTATTTAACTATTTACTCTTTCTGGGAGTATCATTATAATTCCCCATGACAATTCGAAGAAAATTGTTGACTTTAATCATTGAATGACAAAATGAACTCGCAAAATTGCTTTGTTATGAAACTAAACGGAGGTCGAATATGAACATATTATTATTTCAGAATGGGTAGAAATTTGTTTAATTCATATTCAAGAATAATATAGTTGTTTGATTATTCTGATTGGCACAACCTTCATGATTCAATCTCTGAGCTTCTCAGCGAGTCCTTGACCGCTAATTTCAGACATAGTTGATCATCTGACTATAGTGAATTGATGTTCATGTCACATTGATTCAATCCTATTGGACGATTAGACGAAACTGGAGCAAAAATAGTAAATATAACGGATTTAAGCTCTCTACTCAATTGTCAAATAGGACATTTTAAATAAATATGAGAATATAGTAGTAAATATTTCACTCCGAGGAAATTGCACTGTTGGTATTCCTTTGTCTGATATCTTTCCCATAAAACTGAAGCAATGGCCCTTTCCGTGTGTTTCAAGGCCATTTCAGATAGTGGTTCGTTTTGTCACTAAATAACCTCTATCATTCACTTCTATTTGCTCTATCTTTCACTGGGGTATCAGAATAATTTAACCGAATAAAAGTAAATAATACACACTCAAGACGTAAGATTTAGAAATACAGGGAGTTGTTTTATACGTCGAAATAATCAAATTCCTCATAGATTCATTAAGCCACGTTCGAGCCAATTTGATTACATTTGTCTGAATCTTTTTTAAATTTTTTTCAAGGCCAAATTCCACAGATTAAAAAAATGTCAAGCCCAATAGATTTTGGTCATGTTTATGCTTACTTTACATCTTTCACTTTTTTTCTAAACTTTTGCTCAGCAGATGCTGATGCAACTGATTATTGCTATTTGGCCTCATCTGAGTTACATTTAAAGTAGACTAACAAAATTTGAATTCGAGGTCTTTTTACCATACAACTATGGGGTAACGGATATGTATCCAATAAAGAGTTGATAAATTCTGATCTGTCATTTAAAAATCACGTGAATTCATTGGTTACCTATCCTATGGTAATATTGGCATGCTTTGATTACCGATTAACTTCCACGCTTTAATACTTGAAGTCTGGTTGATACCGGAAGAAATTCAAAATCTTAAGTTGTTTAATTTGAAAACATATCAGGTGGTTTTTCTCTAATCCCACCTGTATAACTACAGAACGTCTGAGTTATAATAAACTGGACTGCATATGGTTTTGTTCGAATTCTCCTCTACCTACCTTTTAATATCGGTATTTGACCTCTGACTTCCAACTACCATGACTCAACTGTATGCCATACTAGATCACTTCCACAGTACTCATCTCACCTTACCTTTTCCCTACCTTTGTGTCTGCCTGCCTCTTTTACATCTGTAAATCACTCTTTTGTTCTCACCTCTCTAATTTTTCTCCCTTTGACGTTCCTTTCCTCTTGGAAGCCTGAAGTCACCTATAGGACTAATGGTAACTATCAAAGCGTCTGCCATTTGATGTAGCTATAACTATAACTAATTTTTTAATATCGAGCATTGACGTCTTACTTTCAAATGGAAGTTATTTAAATATTATTACAATCTTTCACAAAATATCACAAAAATAGTGCCATAAAATGGGGTTATGGTTGAAATTTGAGAGATTTTGGATTGATGAGGCTCAAATATATGCTCGGTGACGGTAAGTTGTTCAGGTAACCGTTTTGAGGGTTTAGGCATTGAGCAGAACACCCACCCCCTATTCGTATGTTTCCTAAATACTGAAGCAAATATATTAAAATATATATTAATTAATGATTAATATATTATTACGTCCATTTATAAGTGGTTTAAAGAATATTAAAATTAACAAATTCATTTCAAATATCAGTCTATGTGATACATTATTCCAGGACGAATTTAAGGATAGAGTAAAATGGTGTAGATATATTTGGTACAGATTGCATACTTAATCTCACGGAATAGATTGAAATTAGTGTCAGTTTAGCATATATATATATATATATATATATATATATAACTCGTTTATTTTATCACCAGCTCTTTCAGTTCAGATTTGATAAATTTAGTTTTGTGCTAGAAATGCTTCCTGTTCGTTTCCTTCTACCATTTTCGTTATCCTAACTATCCCTCTGCGTCAATTTGACCAGTTAGAAGCACAGGTAAATGTCGACGGTTTTCTACTCAACACACTTTCAATTGCATCTTCATATTAATCTTCGCCAATTGCGATAAAGTTGTCTTTATAAAAATGAAGATATGCATTGTTCTGCTCCTTCTTACCCACTGTTCGGACATTTTAAAATGATCGAGGGCTCTAAGGTGTAAGGTGTCCCAGAACGTCTTCTTTAGGAGACTCACATTCTACCACCTCTTTTGTTGACCTGAATTAAAAACCACTGTCGACTATCGCTGTTTGTGACCTTTTTCTTCTAAGTGAGCATGCATATTAAAACCCCTTACTTCGTCAAAAGAAATAAATAAGTACTATATGTACTGAAATATTGATTTCAGCGCTTTAAGCCATTACTTACAATAGTCGAGTACATTAACTTATTTTCCTACATTTCAAAATTGCGAAATATGCCATTTTTTACTTCTACTCGAGTATTTGACCATCACTTAAAGTATTAATTCTCCTGTAGCTCATGAGGTCGAGGAAGCAGAGACGAAGCAGAATGTCGTGAGCTCAAATGATGAAGCTCTAGTGGAGACGACGAATACGATGACAACAGCAAGTGACATCTTCGCAGTGATGCGGGCAGTGATGTCGCCAGGACTCTGCGTGTTCTTCACGTTTTTCGTCTCTCTTTCTCTTGCGCCTAGCGTCTTTGCTCTCATTCGACCGGCTCATTACGATGTCAATGACCCATGGACATGTAAGTGGAGACGAGTTCATTGCCAACTAGGGCAGGGGGGGGTTATGCATTGTAGAGGCGATCGGAATCCCTGCTTATCGGTGCTCATCAAATGACAAGGGGGTGGGGGGGGGGGGGGGGGGGAGAGGCAACTGGACCAGATAATTCTTGTCGAAAAGGGACCTTGGTGCGTTCCGAATTTCTTGTCACGGTTGGGTGTAGGAATTATTCCTTCCACCCAAGTAAAATGCTTCTAGTCATTCCAGAAGTTAGATTACACGTGAATATTTGTAAGTATGAAGTTGGCAGAGGGAGTTAAGGTGGTTAAAAGGCAACACGATATTCGGTTGTGAGTTAACTAGTGCTCAGGTTTATAATCCCAAACAATTCACATTAAAATCTGAGTTTTTAACCGAATTGAGTTTACTGAAAATAGCCAACATCTATATTTATAATTTTTCACATTTTTTGGTAGTATTTCGTTTTTTGTTAGTGCCAATTTTCTATATATGCAATTTGTGCAGGAAAGTACAAAGCCTCAATATTAACAGCCGAAGGCAACTTGTGGAGCATTTGTCCTTGAAAAAGGGATGATTTCCCTAAATCTTGAGGAGAGATTTAAGTTTTTTGTTTAAAAATTTAGATTACCATAAAGGAAAATTGGCTTTCCCCTGCAAATACACTGTTATGTACATTAGACCGTTAAAATTTAATTAAATGTAAAATAGAGATTATATCTGATGGGGTTATTGCTTTACCCCAATTTCCATTATACAAGAGAGCTGTGGGATACGTCATCTCTTAACGCGTCATCGCATGCCTGCACACGGGACACGTCATCGCATGCCTGCACGGCAGGATTGGGAGGTGCTACGTCATCGCATGCCTGCACACCAGGATTGGGAGGTGTGACCGTACAAACAGTGACCAATCATTAACCTCTGTTTGTTTAACCTAATCGGCCATCCTGATCATGATTAAGCTCCCTGCCTGTACACTTTATCCGCAATATACCTACTATATAAACGTTCTCCGTGCTACACATCTGTTTCCTTTCTACTGAATAAATGTTCCGTGCTACACATCTGTTTCCTTTCATAGCTGGGCTATAGCTTAGCTAGTTCTGGGAGTCTAGCTAGTTGTAGGAGAATCTACCACAGAGATTTCTGAGTCAGTCAGGCTTTACTAGCGTAGCAATCCGCTACAGAGCTTTGTTGGGATAAAATCCACAGATCTGACGATTTCAAATAAATTGCCAAAATTGAATCATGTGTAATCCGATAGGGGAACTGTTGTTTATATTTTGATATTAATTATTTTCCCCCCTACGAATAAACTCATTTCTTGTACTCTTATTTTACTCGTATTTGATTTTGCAATTTGATTGTTGAATTATTCTTCTGTTTCTGTTTCAATAAAAATATTCATGTTTCCATAATTCAATGCGAGCCAATTTGCAAGATTAAACAATAACTATTTCATCGGAGTTATCGTAGATTCCTACAAGGCCATTTGAGAAGAATAATTTGTGTCTAAGTGCATTTTCATTGATTAGTATACGCTTCATTTGAATCTTGCTCATGAGACAGATATCTCAATTTTGTTGGCTGACTTTGTGACGTTGCCAAATCTATTTAGCCACGCCTCAAATAATTAAGTTAACATACGAATGTTAATTCAAAACAATTTGCATTTCTCAATTTCAGCCACCTACTTCACACCTGTGATCGTTTTCCTCCTCTTTGCTGTCTGTGATTTCTTGGGACGAATGCTCGGTGGACGTATTCGTTGGGTAAGACATAATTAAGGAGAACAAGGCGAATGAGAGACGGCCCTTTTTATTCATGATCGTCTGGATTTCGGCGACCTATTTTGGGAGGGAAGACGTAATTGATAGCTGTTGAATGGAATGGTCAAGGGGGGAGAGGGAGGGGGTGAGGATTTGAGGACTTATTTTTTGAAAAATCCATAATAGAAGAAGCTTGCAAGTATTGTATCAGGAACCCGATTTAATGGAATATAATCATGACAAAATGAAGATTGGCTTTTAAATGTAAGCCAGGGCTTTGATTTAAAAAACGCGCAAACATTCATACTCTAGTAACGAGAGTGAGAAATGAAAGAGGACACATTTTAGTAAAAAATGGGCAAGGCAAATCGGTTGGATCCCCACATCTATGCACTACTGCATGACTCAGGCCAATCGTCACGTCTGTGCCTTCAACGGCTTAACTGAGAATAACCTTGGACTAATTATCTTGACTTTATAAGACACTTTCTCTAAATAATCACTGATTAATGAAAATTTGATGAAAATTTCGGTATAAGGTGAAATAGCGTTTGGATCTATGCAGGATAGGAGATAAGAGCAGGTGATCATCTTTCCACAATGACTTCCAGAGCCTAAATCTCCATGTTAAAGAGGACTTTCATGTTGATTGCTTCTTCCAATTTCTCAATAGCTTTGTGCTATGAGGCCATTGTAATCATTGAAGCAGATGCGAATAGGGAAAACCGCATGGCAACAGATTAGCTAAGCCTTGTGTTGTTCAAGTTTGATACGTAGTAGCTAAAGTTGTGAAATCATTGACTGGAGATGAACTCGTATTTTATTTACTGTTATTGATTGAAAACGAGTTTGTTTGCTAGTATCCAAATATGAAAGCAATGATTGAACATGAAATTCAACCTAAAAAAGGCCACTTCTTCCATTTTTAAAAAATTTATTTCAAATGTCAGGCGTTTTGATAGCTATCAATAGCCATTTAGCTGACTTCGGGCTTCACAGAGGGAAGGTTCATCAAAGTAGAAGAAAGTCGAGGGGTGGGGAACAGAAGAGCGATTCACAGATGTAAAAGAGGCAGGTAGATAAAAAGGTAAGATGAGTACTGTTAAATGGGTCGAATATGACAACCAGTCGGGCCATGGTAGTTTGAAGTCAGAAGTCAAC